AGGTAAGTTAGGTCCTTGGCAGAGTGGGGATTTGAACCTACGTCTCCCAGATCCTAGTCTTAACAACCAGACCGTGCTGGCTCTCAGCTATTCTCCCTTGAACAGTCGAGCTATATTTTAAACTGAGAAAAGCACACACTACAGTTCTGCAAGTACCTATACTAGAAACTTCTACAACTAGTGTTGTAAGACTTCACACAATTTGTCTTGCAGCAACAACTCCTATTCCTTAGCTTATAAAGCGTAGTAAAAAATTATGTTTTTCTGTCTACGTTTAGTACATGCCCCTCCTCACAGCTGCTGGAAATATTATAATCCTTCTGATATTGCTTTTCGGGGAAAAGGCATGCCAGTTCAAGAAGAGGAAATTCCCTTCATTTTACATGCCTGGTCAAGTATTTTAACTTGACATCAGCTGCCAGAGCACCCACATTTACTACAGTTTATTTTTAAGAAGCTCAACAAGCAGATCCTTCAATGTTCGGCTTTTCCCCTAACAGTAAGCAAGTAATATCAAAGCCACCTCTCTGAAACTCCCTAGCCCCACTAGGGGTTGCCAGAAGTCACCATGACTTCCAGGCTCGCAAGCATGCTTGCACACACGCACGCACACACACAAAAGATGCAAAAAAGTATGTGAAAAAGCAAGCATAAAAATATTAGTACAACCAGAGCAGAAAAATGGATACTTATTCTGGAAAAGGGTATGTTTTGATGGATTCTGTCCTAAGTTGTGCAATCATAAGATGACTCTGTGATGTACAATGCTAACAAATTGCAATAATCTTATCATAACTACCTTGCCATGCAATAAAATCTCAGCTATGGGTGCCACAAACTTTGCGAGAAACATGCCAGATAGGCCAACAAACAATGTTCAACAGCCATGATCACCGTGAGCAGAATCACTGAACTGTTTGTCTTCAATGGTTGTAGAACACCTTTGCAACTAGCTGTGGTGGTGGAGTTTCATTTACTTGCATTGTAGAGAGCTTGGGAGCAGTAAAAGGGTTAAGAAAGCAGTAGCAGGTGGTGTTTGGAATTTTCAGTCTCTGATTAAAAGCCACACTCCCTCTAACTTATCTAAATTAAAGGTCTTCTCTTGAAATGTTTAGAGAAAGTGCAGTTTATTCTTTCTCCCTGTTGCCTTCGGTTTCCATCTCCGCAATTGCTCTTGCTGAACTTTGGACCCAGAGCAGGCACAATGCATGTAAACTGCTAGTTTTGAGTCACATTGCCTGGAATTTTTGGTGGCAGGTCAAAGCATGACTCAGATTTGCTACTTACAGTGTTTCTGCCTTCACTGTGGTGGTGTGTCTGAACTGCTGGATTCTTTAGCATTTCACTGCTGAAATCATCATTAAGGCCCTATTTACAAAATGTCTCTGTAGGGGAGATGCTGTCTTTCAGAGATCTGTAATATCCACAAAAGTCTGGTTTTCCCAGTTCATCTGCCTGAGCAGCTGAGCCAGCAGGGAAAAACACTTTGTACTGCTTTGACTGAAATGCCCACTAGTGGTAGGCTGATAACAGTCTTTGGAAATCATTACAGCAACCATGGATTTCCCACAAACTCAAGGCAAGGGGAGTCTCAAGGGCAGGTTGGAAAAAAAACACACACCTTAAAATACAGAATATTAGAGCATCGTTTGGAATATAAGGCCCTCAGAGGCAGTTTATAGGAGATTCATGGTTTGAGGAATCTCAGAGTAATGGTGTTTATTTAAAGCAATAATTTTTCACACTTGGGGACCCTATTGTTTCCTTCTTTATGACTGGCCTATCTGGCTGTTTCCTTGAGTTGGGACAGTTTTCATTATATTAAATTGCATGCTATATGGAAACCTCATATTCAACATGAACACTTTATGAAGCAGATTTAGTTACACATCTTTGCTAGAATCCTACTACCTGTACATGTGTACACAGCTGGAAAAGGCTATGAATTTTCGATTGCAGCTGATTTATTTCGCTAGTTCCAAAGTAACTTACAGCATCGTTACCCCTCCTCTTCCATTTTATCCTCACAAAAATCCTATGAGGTAAGTTAGGTCCTTGGCAGAGTGGGGATTTGAACCTACGTCTCCCAGATCCTAGTCTTAACAACCAGACCGTGCTGGCTCTCAGCTATTCTCCCTTGAACAGTCGAGCTATATTTTAAACTGAGAAAAGCACACACTACAGTTCTGCAAGTACCTATACTAGAAACTTCTACAACTAGTGTCGTAAGACTTCACACAATTTGTTTTGCAGCAACAACTCCTATTCCTTAGCTTATAAAGCGTAGTAAAAAATTATGTTTTTCTGTCTACGTTTAGTACATGCCCCTCCTCACAGCTGCTGGAAATATTATAATCCTTCTGATATTGCTTTTCGGGGAAAAGGCATGCCAGTTCAAGAAGAGGAAATTCCCTTCATTTTACATGCCTGGTCAAGTATTTTAACTTGACATCAGCTGCCAGAGCACCCACATTTACTACAGTTTATTTTTAAGAAGCTCAATGTTCAGCTTTTCCCCTAACAGTAATTACTTCATATAAGCAAGTCATGTCCAGAAACCCATCTAATCAATGATCTGCTGGTGTTATTGCTTCTCCACTGGCCACTTTCTTAGGGCTGGTCTAAATTACACAACTTGCCACAGAGAGTTCAGTTTTCACATGACATTTTTGTTAGGGAATTTATTAAGTGAAACTGGGTCTTGTTCTCTCTTAGCCATTTTTGAATTAGCTCTAGCTCTGGCCTCTAGTCTATTGGTTCTTTGGCTTAGCATCTCATAAGGCTTTGCAGTCTGGCTAAGTATTGTATTTTTCCAAGCAAGAGTGGATTTGTTGATGCACCCTGTCCTATAAAACACGTTTATATTTTTCCATGTCCATGGTATATGGTGCTCGAAGCCTAAAAACAGATTACCTTGCCCCCGAGATATCCTTGACATAGTACAGGTCTAGAGCCTCACTGACCCACTGACAATACAAAGATTAGCACTTAAAGAGGTGTCATAATAGTCTGCGGCACCGTTCCCTCTAAGCTGACTTAGTGTGAGCTAGCTCAGTTTTTTAGCCTCCAGCTCACACATTTTTGTCTTAGCTCAGGAAGGATGGCTCCAGAGCAAACTAATTTATGCAGTAGCCAAATTTCTCGCTCACAGCTTTAATGTCATTAGTTCACAAAGTTGAATTTTTGCTCACAAGACTCCACAGTTTAGAGGGAGCATTGGTCTGGGGCTTCTTGCCCTCATAGGTACTACATTAACTACAGGCAAAGTTCATGTTAGATGTATATGGGGGGCTGGATTTTGTCAACCGTGTCAGATGTTCGTCACAGGCCTAAATTGACAGCTAATTGACAGGTATAGATGGCAAAAGGTATTTAATGTCTGGGCTTTCTTTTGTTCAGGTTGTTGTGTGCCAACCACCCTCTTTATGGGTCTTGACAGAACAATATTTTATTTATTTATTCCTTCGATTTGTAGACCGCTCACCCCCTAAGGGCTCTGAGCGGTTTTACATATACAATTTATTACAATCTCTTCCTAGGGCCACACACATACAATTGAGGGGGAATTGACTAACCTAACAGGCACCCATAGCGGAGTCTTTGTTGTTATAGTCTCTTTTTGCAGGAGGTCTTTTCAATCCGGCGTCGTCATCTTTTTTCTGGCACAGGTCTTCCTCTGGTCGTCGCGGCTTCTTTCCGGGTATGGGCCATAGTGCACGTCCGCGCATGCTCCCGCAGCCGGCCTCTGTCCGGTTGGCTCCAGCCTACTGTGTCGGTCCGCCCCCGCGCTCTGCCGGCCCAGTCTCCACTCGGTTGCTCGCCTCACCACTGCCGCCATGTTCTCTGCCGCCGCCGTTACTCCGCTGCTCGTGCTGCCGCCACGCCACACCATCGCGAAGGGAAGGACGGGTGCCCCCCCCGCTCTAAGAGCAGGTACCCATTTGTCTACTTGCCCATATGGGCTTTCGAGCTGCTAGGTGGGCGGGATTGGATTTATACCCCGCCCTTCACTCGATAACCAGGATATATCCTATAAAACTACAGTGCATTGTATTTCAGGTTTTTGATTTATTCTGTATGCTACATACTTTTGTTGTTGTTGTTCAGTCCCACAGTCAAGTCTGACTCTTTGCGACCCCCTGGAGCACATCATGCCAGGCCCTTCTGTCCTCTGTTGTGCTTCGGAGTTTGCTTAATTTCATGTTCGTTGCCTCGATAACACTGTCTAACCACCTTATCCTTTGCCATCCCCTTCTTCTTTTACCTTCAGTCTTTCCCAGCATCGGGGTCTTCTCCAATGAATGCTCTTTTCTCATTTGGTGGCCAAAGTATTTGAGCTTCAGCTTCAGTATCTGGCCTTCCAGGGAACAGTCAGGGTTGATTTCTTTTAGGATTGACTGATTTGATCTCCTTGCAGTCCAAGGGATTCTCAAAAGTCTTCTCCAGCAGCATAATTCAAAAGTGTCTATTCTTCGGCACTTGGCCTTCCTTATGGTCCAACTCTTACAGCCGTATATTACTACTGGGAATACTATTGTTTTGACCATGCAGACTTTGGTTGGCAGGATGATGTCTCTACTTTTTATTTTGCTGTCTAGGTTTGCCATAGCTTTCCTCCTAAGGAGCAGGTGTGTTTTAGTTCCATGGCTGCAGTCACCATCTGTAGTGATCTTGGATCCCAGGAACGTGAAGTCTGCCACTGCTTCCGTTACTTTCCCTTCTATTTGCCAAGGACTGATGGGGCTGGACGCCATGATCTTAGTTTTTTTGGATGTTGACTTTCAAGCCAACTTTTGCGCTCTCCTCTTTCATTTTCAGCAAGAGGCTCTTTAGGTCCTCTTCACTTTCTGCCATTAGAGTAGTATCATCTGCATATCTGAGGTTGTTGATGTTTCCCCCAGCAATCTTAATGGTGTGCTATTTCAGTCACACACAAAATTAGAAGACACACTCAGCTTTGGCTCTTTATTTTTTTTCTAAAACCAAACTGATACAGTTATATTTTACACATTTTCACTTATAAAATTCCCTTATCCTTCATCAACATATCACAGATCTCTTTTCAAGTAATTTCATTTCAAAAGCTTGTAGTGCTTGTGTGTTCAGAGACCTGAGGGACAGTTATGGTCAGTGTTAAAAATTCATTGACTTTCATAAAAGGGAGAACTTGAAGCTCAAAGGCAATCAATGAAAGTCTCTTGGTCAAAATCCAGCTGAAGTTCGGCCATGACCAGGTCCCACTGAAACCAATTTTAAAAGGCTAAGTTGCAACTACAAGTCATATTGCTTTCAGTGGGATGTGAAACCTGATTTTTTGTGCATGTTACTCAGAAGTATGCTGCATGCAGTTACAAGGCTTAAGCCTCCATGCCACTGCACACTTGGAGCTGGACTGTGACCATTGTTCCTGAGGAATAACTTCATTTTTTAAAATATATAGAAGAACATGAAATGTATGGAATAATTTTCTATTTAAAGCTCAGTAGTTCAAAATTATTTAAATATAAAGTGGACATAAGACCTTGTACAACTCTTAAAAAGTATTCCCACTCCCCTAAGAAACAGCAACTCATTATTTTTGTATTTCGTCTTGAAATTTGCATAGGATAAAAGGACTGGTATGTTTTATACTTGAAAAAATTCATCTATTTTGTTTGCTCTGGCCAATAAGATTCTATTTTTGTAATAGTCTTAAGAGGCCTGTATTGCACAGAATATATTTGTGTCAAAAACATTTGACTAAATTGTCTCATTTTTAAAAAGCTCTGTTTTGTTGTCTTGAGAAATTGTACATACATTCTAGAAAGCCAACATATAACCTACTGAACATTTCAAAAATATTTCAGACTTCTGGTTTTTAATTATACAGGCACTTCAGAAGACAGTCCGCTTCATAAATGGATATGTATACCCTCAATTGCATTGGGGTAATACGTAAAACATACTACAAATATTAGCAAACTAAAGAGAATCTATTAAAAATAATGGTCCACCATCACACTAATGTAGGACACAAGATTGCAAGCTGAACCCACAAACGTTTGAGATTTCCTTGCTTGCCAATAAAATCAAGGCACTAAAGAGACACTGAGTGCTGGTGAAACCAAAGTTTGACCTACTATTTTGTTCCCCCAATGCAATTTTATGGGTCTTCACCTCCTTCACCACTACTAAGATCTTTTAAGTAGTTTAGAGCAGCACTTATCCATAATCATACCATCACTCCAAGACCAAGTGACAAAATATTAGTGTCAGCTTAAAAAATGCATGCAAACAATCCTTAAAAATTAAGGATCTATCCAAAAGTGATGATGGAAGTAAGAAGTGCTATATAAAAATAAAACAAAAAAACTCTTCTGTGGAAGACAATCGTTTCACACGTTTCCCAACAGCTTTGTAACAAATCAAAAACAAAACAAAAAACTAAAAAGGGCACTAGCAAGAAAGGCTGATCTTGAACCAGGTTGCAAGCATCTTTAAAGATCCCTCTTGTCTTCATACCGACACATACAGGCTGCTCTTTGGCTATCAAGGTATGGCTTGCATCCTAAATGTATGACTGCATCGAACAACAACTGAACTGTTGATTCACATGCTGCAAAGAGGAACAGGGAAGGGGGAGAAGGAGAAAGAGTGAATCAGTTCATCGGTTAATAATACAATGAGGTACAGATGTCACTAGAGGGGGGACAAAAAAAACCTTTACCTAAGTTTCTCTCTTGACTTGCGACTAAGTGTATAGTTAAACATACAAGGTTAAGTTTTAATATAAATTTCCTCTGGCTTGTGTAGCCTATATCTGACAGATAAGCAGCTTAGCAAGCAGTATTTGCAATGCTCATAGTGGTAAATTTATGAATGTATTTGCAATCTGAAATCTCAAGATTCATCTGCTGTTTGCTGTTAATATATCTGTCGTTACAGCTCCACATTAATCACGTTGCGCTGTCAGTTTTTACAGATGTCAAGAATCAATACAGTTTTAGAAAACAGGACTGAAGCCTTTCTTCCCTCTCCTTATAATGCACAACTTTAAGGGGAAAGAAATACATCTTCACATAATTTCACAGTTTAGTCAAAGTAACAGAGTTGGAAAATATGTGCTCAAGGACAGAAAATAATAAAGTGTAGTTAATTGTGGTTAAAGACAGTCTTGAGAATTCATTGTTTACACAAATAAGTTTAAAATGAGATTTAGACTATGATCTATTATTAGATGGAACAAGTTGTTCTTTATTAGCCGCGCATACAAATACATGAGGAAGATAGGCAAGATCTTAGGCCACATTAATTTGTGCTTTACAATTTGTTTTTTCCCCCCAGCAAAAACTAGTACACACATCAAGAGTTATCGGCAAATATTTAGCTTACCTTGTACACTCTCTGGTATTCCTAATGTCTTTTGTACATCTCGGCAGATCTTAGAGAGGCAATACTGAAATTGCTCATCACAATCATTTTTCTGGTTACCACAGGTGTCATAACATCTGTCGTGTTGATTGCAGCATTTTGTCATCGAAGGAATGCCAATGTCAAACTAACAGGCAAAGGCAAGAAAGTTAGCGGTCCCTGGGAGTGCTGACCAGACCCACCACTCTTCCAGCTCTAAACATCAACTGACTACCAGCACACAGGGGAAGGAATGCCCTGAAGTGTTTCTTGAGGAGAAGTCAAAAAGGAGTGGCCTTATGCTCTGCAAAGACATCTCAGAGCTATTAAATAGACTGGGAGTTAAGCAAGAACTTGGCTACGGAACCAAACATAAGATGTCATCTGAAAGGAGTCTTCTTTCCAACCGTCAGTGGAACCCAACCAGCCTTCCCAAAGCTATCATGAAATCAAAGAAGGTCCAATCACTCCAGTGTAGCTGGGCAAGTTTGCCATGGTATCATGCAGCAGGTTTTTGTTACAGGGGCCAGGAGAGAATCACCCTTACTCATAGGTTGAGGAAGGGGTGGGAAGAACTAATCTCGCTTGAAGGTGTCAGAGATCACTGCAAATAAGGACAGGCTACTAGGCTAATAAGGCTATTAAGAGAGGGTGCCATGGCTCAGTGGCACAGCATCCACTTGGCATGCAGAAAGTCCCAGGTTCAATCCCCAGCATCTCCAGCTAAAAGGATCTCTGTCTGACACCCTAGAAAACTGCTGCCAGTCTAGGTAGGCAATGCTGACCTAGATGGACCAAGGATCTGGCTCAGTATAAGGCAGCCTCATGTGTTTGTATGTACTGGACATCGTATATGTCTAATGGTATCAAGAAGTACCCAGTATCAAGAGAAAAAGTAATTTCTTTTTGAAAAGGGGAAGGCTAGAATTGCACATTTAGAGGCCAGCTGAAAGGATATGGGAAAAAACTGCCTTTAGTTTAGAATAGTGGTTAAGAGATCATGAGGTTCCTGGTTGAAATCTCATCTCAGCTGTCAACTCTCTAGGTGGCCTCAGACAAGCTAGTTGTCTCACAAACTGAAGAACTGCTACAAGCTTCTATGAATTTCTAAGGCAGTTCGTCAGCAGGGGTTTAAATGGCTTGGAGCCATGTAGACTTCTGCTTTCTGCTCTTCAAGAGAAACAATGGGGAGCAGAAAGCAGGGGTCACAAACTGATACAAACCAGTTTAGTTTGCGGACCAACCTCCTGGTTTGTGGTTTGGCAACGAACCATGAACCGAACCACAAAAACATGGTTCGTGCCCATCCCTACTTACATCCACAACATGAGGATAACTGTCCCACCTTACAGAGTTGTTACAGGCATTATTGTTATAATGTATGTGAGATTCATTTATCAGCCCCTTTGTGTCCCCATCATAGATTGTACCATTCCTGCCACACTATACACCAAATTATTGTTTTTCAGGGTTAAGAAGAAACTCCCTTACGAGGGCAAAGCAGCCTGCCAATGACTGCTACTGTATAGTCCAATCTCTCCCTTTTCAATCCAGTTAGCAAGAAATATGCCAAAATGCAGACCATTTTGCAATCTGCAGCCAAGGATGTGTGGAAGAGTGCTTAGGGTGGCAGAATTAGGAGGGGAGATAGCAAACAGATTATGAGGATTTTCAAGATGGCAGGTGTATTCACATGCCTAGGCACAGCTTTAAGAAGCAAGCCAAGGAGGCTATTCCCATCTCCCCCAGAAAATCTGGTGAGTTTGTTCAATTAAAAAAATGATAGACTTCTGCTAGGTAGGGAATTGGGCTCTTCAGTCCGTTTTACAGGACTGATCTGGGAGGTTCTCACTAACTGAGTTCTTTACAGGTTCCTCCATATCTTTTTTCCCTCACTGCTGAAACTATGTGATTATTTAGATGATTACTGGTCATATTTCTCTAATTGTATGGCTTTGATGAATATGACTTTCAGGCAGGGGTATTTTTGGGCAGGAACGCACAGGAACGGAGTTTCGGCTGGCTTCAGAGTGGCCCATGCCCACTATAGCCAAAACCTCTGCGTGCATGGCTACAGAGGGAAGGCCTGGAGACCAAACCCCGCCCCCCCAGCAACTCTGAGGCAGGGGGGCCCTGGAAGGATCGGGGAGGCATTTAAATGCCTCCCCGTGCCTTCCCCGGCCTGTCCAAGGGCCAGCTTGCCCGGGCTCCCCGTAGCCGCAGAGCGCCCGGGCAAGCCAAGGGAAGGCAATTTAAACTTGAACACCAAAGAGGGGAGAACCACATCCATTGGGTGGTGAAGGTTTATAGCCATAGCGGGGGAAAGGCTTATATCCTGTAAAATATGAAGCACTTTAGTTTCTAAGCTTTCCCATATTAGATATCTTTTAAAAAAATTCACAATGAAATGTGGTGCAGTTGTATATAAACCTGTATGCAGTACAAGTGAGACATCACTAAGTCTCACTGTGTTAAACGGGTAACTATAGACATGACTAGATCCAGTGACTTCACTAGAATAATTATTCAATAGAATAACCCAGCAGAAACACAGGTGTACAAAGTTTGTACATGCTTAGGGATGGCACCTTAAGAAATAGTCCTACCAACACGATCAGGAGTAAGGATAGCCCCGAATCAGAAGAATGTGAATTGGTTCATGGTCTCGCAAACCCTGTTGGAAGGGACTGCTAACAGGGTTTGCAGAAAGCCTGAAAAACAGCTGAGCGGTGGGGAGCACCCTGCTCCTTACCACTCAGCTGCTTTGGGCTTTCTTGTGTAACCACTTGGAGTCCCTTTAAACCCCTGCTTTCTGCTCTATCCATGAACTGCCACAAACTGCTTTAAAAGTTCATGGAAGTTTGTGACGGTAGACCCATCACGAACTTCGGTTTGCGAACCATGAACAGGGCAAAATTCATGATGACTTCTTCTTTGTGGTTCAGTTCGTGCCCATCCCTAATCAGGAGTTCTTTGGATCTATCCAGTGTAAATATGCATTTGTTTGAATTCTCAGTCCTTAATGATGTTAACTGAGCTGTATGGGCTTACTAGAATGGTTGGAAGGACAGCCAATGGCACAAGTTTTGGAATTTAAATGCTTAGGTTATGCTAGAATTATGTTTAATTATGAAGGTTCCACAAAAATCCCGTTCTATTTTCTAAAACAGAAAGCTTATATAAAAAATGACCCAGGGGCTTTCACATTAAAAGGTAAAGGTTTCCCTTGCTCGAAGGCTAGTTGAATCCGACTCTAGGGGGTAGTGCTCATCTCAGTTTCCAAGCCAAAGAGCCAGCGCTGTCTGAAGACGTTTCTGTGGTCATGTGGCCAGCATGACTAAATGCCGAGGTGAACAGAACACTGTTACCTTCCCACTAAAGTTCTTGCTTTCAAACTGCTAGGTTGGCAGGATCTGGGGCCAGAGACGGGAGCTCACTCTATCATGTGGCACTAGGGTCTCGAACTGCTAAACTACAGACCTTCCGGTCTTCAGCTCAGTGTCTTAACCTCTAAGCCACCACGGCCCTTAGTAGTCTACTAAAAAGGAGCTACTTGAAAATCTTTCACCAGCCACAGTTTGATGCCACCTTGTCATGCAAAAATTGATTAGCAGTTGTATCCCTCATCCCAGGGGAAGCTGTGGTCCATGGGGTCGCGAAGAGTCGGACTCGACTGTGCGACTTAACAACAACAAATAGACATGACTAGATCCAGTGACTTCACTAGAATAATTATTCAATAGAATAACCCAGCAGAAACACAGGTTTACAAAGTTTGTACATGCTTAGGGATGGCACCTTAAGAAATAGTCCTACCAACATGATCAGGAATAAGGATAGCCACGAACCAGAAGAATGTGAATTGGTTCATGGTCTTGCAAACCCTGTTGGAAGGGACTGCTAACAGGGTTTGCAGAAAGCCTGAAAAACAGCTGAGCGGTGGGGAGCACCCTGCTCCTTACCACTCAGCTGCTTTGGGCTTTCTTGTGTAACCACTTGGAGTCCCTTTAAACCCCTGCTTTCTGCTCTATCCATGAACTGCCACAAACTGCTTTAAAAGTTCATGGAAGTTCGTGACGGTAGTAGACCCATCACAACTTCGGTTTGCGAACCACGAACAGGGCAAAATTCATGATGACTTTTTCTTTGTGATTCAGTTCGTGCCCATCCCTAATCAGGAGTTCTTTGGATCTATCCAGTGTAAATATGCATTTGTTTGAATTCTCAGTCCTTAATAATGTTAACTGAGCTGTTTGGGCTTACTAGAATGGTTGGAAGGACAGCCAATGGCACAAGTTTTGGAATTTAAATGCTTAGGTTATGCTAGAATTATGTTAAATTATGCTAGAATTATGTTAAATTATGAAGGTGCCGCAAAAATCCCATTCTATTTTCTGAAACAGAAAGCTTATATAAAAAATGACCCAGGGGCTTTCACATTAAAAGGTAAAGGTTTCCCTTGCTCGAAGGCTAGTTGAATCCGACTCTAGGGGGTAGTGCTCATCTCAGTTTCCAAGCCAAAGAGCCAGCGCTGTCTGAAGACGTTTCTGTGGTCATGTGGCCAGCATGACTAAATGCCGAGGTGAACAGAACACTGTTACCTTCCCACTGAAGTGGTACCTATTCTTGCTTTCAAACTGCTAGGTTGGCAGGAGCTGGGGCCAGAGACGGGAACTCACTCTATCATGTGGCGCTAGGGTCTCGAACTGCTAAACTACAGACCTTCCGGTCTTCAGCTCAGTGTCTTAAACTCTAAGCCACCACGGCCCTTAGTAGTCTACTAAAAAGGAGCTACTTGAAAATCTTTCACCAGCCACAGTTTGATGCCACCTTGTCATGCAAAAATTGATTAGCAGTTGTATCCCTCATCCCAGGGGAAGCTGTCAAAACAACAGGGCAGACTGAAGTGAGCACCTACTTCTGTGTTCCTGGATATAAACCGGGTAAACTACCGGTAAAAGGCAGCATTGTCTTGTACAGTACAAGCGCTTAGGGGGTCATCATTATCCCTGTTTTCTTCTCAGCAAAGAAAAGCAGCAGAAGCTTAATCCTGACTTGAAGTAGCCAGTCAATCAGTACTGAAATGAACTATTTTACTGTGGATTCCAACACAGAACTGGATCACTCCTGTTTTAGCTTTCTCTCAGGGCTGTAAAAAAAGGCACAAACTATAGAATGGCTCTAGTGGATAAAGTCAAAGTCAGTGAAGTCTAGGCTTTTCAAAATTATTGATGAATTCGCTGCACATAGAGGATAAAAAAGAAAACCACACAGAACGGTCTTTGTCTTAATATAATTGCCATTCCTTTCTCCAGATTAAATATTTTCATACAATTGGAAAAAACTACACATACTTTCTTTACACATAATTCTCTCAATTGTTTCACTAAATCTAAAACCCAGTTCTCAAAAGGCAGACTCCACCTGTTGCAAATTCAGGGATATTGGACAGTTTATTCCTTAACCTTTCACAAGATGTAAAAGACTCTTGTTTTCTAAATTAGTGTGGCTAAGAGTATGAACTACGAGCCAGAAAGTCCTTGAATCTCAACCTAGTTATGAGTTCAGAAGACAGCCTTGCAGCTTGATCATAAGCTTGCTCATTCAGAAATTGGTTGTGGTGGAAAGTACCATCAAGCCACAACCCACTTATGGTGACCCCATAGTTTTTTCAAGGCAAGAGATGCTCAGAGGTGTTTTGTCATTGCCTGCCTCTGCAGAGAACCTGGAATTCCTTGGGGGGTCTCCCATCCAAATACTAACCAGGGCTGACCCTGCTGACCCAGTTTCTGAGATCTGATGAGATCTCACTAGCTTGGGCCATCCAGGTCAGGGCATTTAGAAACTGGTACCACTCATTCCAAAGTGCGCACAGGATCCCATTCTTAGGTAGACATGTCTTTTCTGGCCCGGAAATGGACGAAGCTGACAATATGGGTGATATTACTGAACTACATTTTAGGGTTATCGCAAACATTACTGAAATAGAAGTTATAAGTTCCCTTGTGGCCTTAACAGAATTGCTACATCCTTCCACGCCCTTCTGGAATGCAGATTTTATGAGATTATGACAGATTACTATATTAAGGCTTTATTCAACCAATCGTTCCCCTATACTCCAGAAACCCTGGATCTTTTGCTCACTGATAAGGATCCAAAGATCACTCTAGCAATTGCAAAATTTGTCTCAGTCCTTTCAGCCCTTGCATCTAAAAAATAAGTGGCTTCTGCTGCTCAAGATTCGTGAATCAATGAGCCCCTAAGGGTACAAAAGAAAAGGAAATAGGAAAGTTATAAGTATAACATAACTTTTGTAAAAGATGTCCCCTCTGCAACAGCTCTTTGAGCAGAAAAAGATTTTGTACCCCAGTGAAATTTAGAGAACTAAACTTAGTGCAAAGTGTTAAGAGTTGAACTCCAATGGCCTTTGATGCCTGATGAAGGAAGAAAAGATCATCTTTCACACTGATTTCCAAATATTGTAATCTACATCTCAACAAAAACCGGTTCCTAGTCACACAATGTGTTCGTAATCGCTCTTGTCTTTCCGTAACAAAATCCTTGGTGTGATTACGGACTACCTTGCATCTGATAACACTTACTACAGTTTCAGAACAAGAACTTTTGTGTTATGATCAAACAGGTAACAGCTAAAACAATAGCTATGTAGGCCAATCACGCAATAAGAAACCAAAGATCCACAACGCAAATCATAATAAATCAACTTTCTGAAGAAAACCCTATTGTTTCCTGGCGTCACAAACTGAAGGCTATAGAAAATGTTCAAGAGCACACATTTGTTAAGGTCCAGCAGAACCTAATTTAGCAAAGGCCTGCGTTACCTAACCTGATGCTCAGTGAGCCATTCTGAAGCAACATTAATGTACATCTCCACTCACAACCATTTTTTTTTTAAAGCTGAGAGTGTCAGAAGAAGTCCAACTTTCCAGGGAATCACGGCATGGACACACCTCCCCGTTGACCCCCGTTTGTTATAACACATCCGTATTACCATCGCTGCATTTATACTGACAGAGCCCATCCTCTCCTCCCAGCAGATCCAGCGCCGCGTTGAGATAAGTGTCTATCTTGTGGACGCCGTTCCGGATGGTCTTCAGCGTCATTCTCCAGTCCGGGGTCTGGGGCTCCTGGCAACGGCTGGGCTGCGGCTGCATCCCTAGCAAGCCACAGGTCACGAGAAACGGTAGCAGCGCCCGGCTCATCGTCATCGCAGACAACCCCCGCATGGAGGCTCCAGCCGCGCTGGGATCTGGAGCGCCGGGACGGCAGGCGCCCCCAGCCCCTTGCAGCAGGTGAGATCGAGTCAGTCTCCAGCAAGCCGCTCCATGTCGCGCACGACGCCTGGCCCGGGAGACTCTGGCAGTCGCCGTTCCGCTTCTCCAATCTCCGCTCGCTCAGGCCGGGGAACTTCTACAGTCCCGCAGACCGTCTCCGCACCGTCAGTCCACACCAGCCCCGCCCCAAGGCTGCCTGTCCGGGCCCTTTGGACGCAAGGAGGGAAAGGGGTGGCGCTAGTCCCTCGGAGGTGGGGACGCTGCCGAAGGTAGAAAAGAGAGGCGCACGCCAAAAGAGGAAGTGCCCGGCCAGTGCCTCTCCGGAAGTGCATCGAAATCGAAGCCCTTCCACTAGGAGGGTCCTCGGGGCGCAAGAAACGCTCAACGCCTCCCATTGGTTTCAGTCGGAAAGTGGAAAATATCCCGAAGAGTAGCCCTGCATCTCCCCGCATGGGTGACAGGTGGTTCTGTGCAAGCGGGCTAGCTTTCACCCGTTGTTTGGTTGGAGCTGCCCTCCGATGTATCCGAAGAAGTGTGCATCCACACGAAAGTTTATACCTAGAATGAAACTTTGTTGGTCTTAAAGGCGCCACTGGATTCAAACTTTGTTCTGGTCTCCAACGGGTACGCTCAGCAAGAGGTAGGAAACAGTCCCTCTCTGTCCCTCTTGCACGAAAAAGTGGTAAATAAAAAAGCATTTAAAGGCGGAGTGCTCTAGACGCACATGCCAAGAGCCTTTTCGAGGAGAGGGACACAAAGCTGGTTTTAAAAACTTATAAAGATTTTAATGTGCACTGCAGATTGCTAAAGGCCGAATGGAACCTATCGCGCGGGGGAGGGGGGGGGGATCTGTGTCATTCACAGACGCCTGGTGTTGCAGGTAAAGCTCTAGACTAGAACCAGGGAGGTTTCTGGGCTTCAGTCCGGCCTCACATCATCATATGGTTGTTGTGATGACAACAAAATAAAGGGGGAGCTCCTTGGAGAAAGAAATGACACCCGAATCAATATGACCACTCTGTTTTTATTATTATACTTTAATCTTATCCAGTTCATCCTCCAAAGAGCTCACTACACGATCCTTCCTCCCACCCCCAATTTTATATTCATAATGGCCTTATAAAAGAGATTATGCCAAAAAGTAGTTGTGCAAGATTTAAATGGGGGACCCATTGTCCTATTTAAACTTGTCTTGCCCCAAGAATAGTAGAGAATTCCCTGTTGTCAATGTGGAGTGACTTAGTACAGGCCAGGTCCAATATGGTTGGGTTTGGGAAAAAAGTAAAAGGCAGATTTACATGGATCCTCAAGGTTTTGTTGTTGTTTTTTAAACAGAGTTCCTCCAAATCTAGTATCAAATCACATGACAAAGCCAGGACTATGGACTGAACCATTAAAAATGGCTCCAGTACTTTGTGGCACAGCAGTGCTACAAAAACATGGGTCTACGGCATGGATCCTCATGAATTCATATGAAGATCCATAAGGATCTGTGCTTTTGAACTGTTTTTGCACCATTGTGGCAGCACAAAGCAGTGGATGTGTTATTTTTGTGTGCAGTCTGTGGCTATGGACGTGAGTTGATGGTGAGTTTGGGGTGACCCAGTGTAAAAATCATGTGGATCCATAAGGATCTGTGCTTTGGAACTGTGTTTTTGTGCCACTGAGGTGCCACAAAGCAGTGGATGCATGGTTTTTGTGGTACTGCCTGTAGACTAAGACAGAATCTCCAGTACGATGGTGATTTTCATTTTGTTTCAATGTAAAAATCATATGAATTTATGAGGATCCATTTACAATCATCTGGATCTGACTTCACCCAGTCCCGTTGGGTTTCTGTTGAAACTGTCAGGCAGAGTAGACTATGTGTACCCTGAAGGCCCCCTAGTAGAAGACCCTCAATTCTGATGCACTAGAAGTGCTCTTGTGTGGGGGCTTGGTTGGGGAAAGAGGGTATGGCACAGGGAGTTAGGAGGAAGGATGAGGGCTGTGGAATAGGCATTAATTTCCTATACAGCTCTGTAGTCCAATGAGGAGTGTTAAGGTAGATCTTGATGAGACAGGAAATATTTCCTAGAGATTCAACTTTTCTATGCTTGTGTGTGTGTGTGAGAGTGAATTACTTCTAAAATTAGTATAAGTAAGAGCCTTCCAAGGTGGAAAGCCTGACACTGAAGGTATAAAATGCCTTATGAGTACTAACTCATTCTGTCAGTAGAAAGCTTATTCTGGAAAAATGTTATTGACCTTTAGAGTGCCACTGGACCACTGTTCCAATTTTGCTGTTATCAACTGACATGGCTACCCCTTTGGAATGGTTGTGAGGAGTTGCCTAGGTGACCAAGAATGGCACAAGGTGTTCTTGGACTTCCTGGAACTGCTTTCCTTCTCTGGCTTAGATTTTTTAAAATCACACACGCACACACATGGTGGGGGGGGGGTTGGGATGGTGGATTTTTATGCAAACCTCGTTTCCCCAGGTTTGTAGAAATATCCCCCTTTAGCCTATGTAGGCCCCATTGATTCACACAGTGGGGCCAAGTTGAGTAACAGATGCATGAACAGTAGGGAAATCCTAAGGACCCACAGGTGAGCATATGGAGCAAACAGCAGTTTCCCAAGGATTCTGTCTTGGGGAAAATGGTATAGACAGGGTGAAAGGCTTAAATCCTGCCTTTTCACTGTAGTTTTGATTCAAACAGGACTCCCGCACACTGTTTTAAAATTGCTGCGAGTTCCAGTCATGTCTGATTTTGAGAAGCAAAGCCTTTTCTGCAACAGTTCTGGAACTTTGTAATACCCTTTTTCTTAGAATACAGAGTTTTTTTCTTCCCTAGAATTATTTTAGAGACAGGTGAAGACACTTATTTTGTACTGAGTGTTTGAGAATTACAGCATCCTAAGTGGTGTGTTCTGTTGCCTCTGTTGTGATATACATATGATTAAAATCCTTTTAGTTGGCTTTGATGATCTTGTTATTTGAGATTATACATTGTAAAACACCATCTTGAAAACACTTCTTTGAAAGGAGGAGGAGGAGGAGATTGGATTTATACCCTGCCCTTCACTTGGAGTCTTGAGTGGCTTACAATCTCCTTTTCTTTTCTCTCCCCACAACAGACACCCTGTGAGATAGGTGGGGCTGAAAGAGCTCTGGAGAGAACAGCTCTGAGAGAACTGTGACTGCCCCAAGGTCACCTAGCTGGCTGCATGTGGAGGAGTGGGGAATCAAATCTGGTTCTCCAGATTACAGTCCACCGCTCTTAACCACTAATAAATGAAAAATCATGGGTGTTAATACACTGAATTATTTTAAAAGCCATCTAGGTAATCGCCACCACCATATCTAACAGAAATAACTTATGTGTTGTGTGAACTTTCCATCATGAATTTACTGGCACTCAGTTTCCCAATCCAACATGAACAGTACAATCCTAAACAAGTCCATTGAAGTCAGAGGACTCTAACCCTGTTTAGGATTATACTTTAAGTTATTTCCAGAAGATAATTACTGCACTTACATGCCTGTTAATAAAAGCGTGATGGACTGCTGAATACTGTAACACAAACAAGATTAGCAGCTACACTGGATTGGTTTATTAAGTAAAAAGGATTAAGGCAAAGAAGTAGTCTGTCAAGTGCTATTAAACTACTTAATATGCTATCATAAATGTGTGAAACATCATCAAATTGGACACTGGTCCCTTTGTTATTATTTGAAACTTGGAACAGATGTGCAACAACCTTAAACCTGGTATATTACCATGATGTATATCACCACTAATGAACAAACAAGAGACAGACATGATCCAGAGAAGTATGCAGGCAACAACAAGCTGCCTTTCTATGCAACGCTGTAAATCTATCTATAGGTGCTTTTTTAACCTAGAACTGGCTGATTCTTTTATTTTAACAGCAACAATCAACTGTTTCAGAGACTGTCCTCCTTTCTTCCTTCACCACCACAGCACTGGTAAGAAGGGAAAGAACCTGGACCCAGCTTCCCAACTAAACAACTGGTGCTTTATATGGCAGCCCTGAGTTTAAAAATCCAGCTACTGCACATACAGTTCCTAAATGTGGACAACCAGTCATTGAAACCACATATGCAGCATCTTTTAACTTTCAAAGCAAGAGTATTCTCCTCCAAGCTTTATGCATTAAACAGCACTGGATATATTATTGATATTGGAAGAATGACAAAAGTCCTGTCACATAACCTGTCAAAGGGGAAATAGGAAAATATCAAGATTCAATCAGTCTTTTGCTCATATCATGTAGCTTTAGAGAGTTTGTGGAGTCTTCTGTGGACTCATTTTCCTTTGACTCGGCATCAGGGATATGGATGCTCATACTAGCAGTATTTACTAGCATTTTGCAGCCTTCTGCTTATTTGGCTACTCCCAACAGGAGATTCTGATTTGTATCACTTCCTACGGCTTCATCTCAGAGGTGGGTGATTGGCTGTTGCAAACTCTTGCTGAGTTTAAATCATTTGGCACCTAAATATTCTCTTTACATTGTCCTTTTATGATCTATTTATTGCATGCCATCTTGTCAACGACGCAGTATTACTTGCCGGTCTAAACACAATGCTCACTTTTAATTTTTTTATTGGTACATGCATCACTTTATTGTAACATGCAAGATGAATGAAAAAACAATGATTGCTTTTAGAAGGCCAACAGACTTTTAAAAAAATAATGCAAATTTTGGAGAGCCATTGTTGCCAAACTGCCAGGGCATGACACAATCAGAGGTAACAACTTTTGCGTCCATTGATTTCAGTGAAAGAAATTGAAACACGCTTAACTTGAGCTGGAATTATGCCCCCAGTCTTCTGCAGCCAACCTTTCATTATTGCAGCAGAGAATGAGAAAATACTTGCATTCCAAATGTCACACATTAAATCGAGAAACCACAGCCTTTCCAGTATGATAGCTAATCCATTCAAAATAATCAGCCACCTTTGTGTAAACACCAGGGTGTCCTTCTTCACCACAGTTTTCACCCCAGCTCACAATACCCCAAACATAAGCTACGTTATAAGAGTCAAAACAAACCAAAGGTCCTCCTGAGTCACCTTTACAGGAATCTACAGAACCATCATATGTACCTGAGGGAGAAAAAAAAAAACAACCCTCATTGTTAGACACATCATTTTGTGGAACTGAAACACGAGCACTTTTTTATAAGTGCTCAGACTGTTGAAAAGCTTGCTATTGGGTGCTTGAGTTATGAAACTAAACTGAGATTTGTCCGTGAGAGGCTATAAACGGTTAATGGTTGTTGTTTGCATTTACTCTGTATTTTAATGTATTTATTGTTTTAATGTTGTTAGCCGCCTTGAGCCAGCTCTGTGACAAGGCAGGATATAAATCGAAATAATAAACAAACAAACAAACAAGGTTAAGAATTCCACCTTATGCAGAGCATCCCTACTTCCGTTTGGCCAAGATGCCTGAATTTGGATATCATAGCAAACTGGAGTTTGATTGAGGAAGTTTTAATTTAAGCTTCATGTGTAAAGGAAGAGAGAGGAGAGTGCAAAAGCATGTGTTTGTGCCCATCGTGGACACATTTCAGTGAAATCACAGTTTGACATCTGAATGCAGCAATTGATGACAGACAACACAGTGCAGAATATCCAGAAAGGCCCAAGTGTGTATGTAGATATCTTGTTCATACAGGTTGTTACTTAGTGATAGCGGATGTTACTTCCAACTAATATTTCACACAATGTCTTATAGGAGATTATTGAGTTATTGTAAAAGTTTTATATGTTATATTTTTTTTAAAAAATCAAGAGACTGAATTCTTGTTAACTCAGAAAATTGCCTGTGGGAATACCTACTTCCTAGGCTGTTCATTATTTGCTTCTCTAGCCAATAACTGCCCAGAGCTTTGTGACTACAGAGGAGTTTATGCAGTTCCCAGCAAACGGAGAGGTATTTGAACATTTTGCTAATGGCCGCTCTAGATTGCTAGACTGTTATCACCACAGGGGGTGCAATTTGGACTTACTGGGTTGGATCCAGCACAAAATTTCCACTTGTGCTGGAGCTCCTGAATAAGCAGAAATGCAAGAAAAAGTCCATGGTACCTACTTGTGTTGCCAAATTTCTTGTATGTCCACTAAAACCAGAGTAGTTCCACTGTTTATATTTATGCACATGCACAACTGGATCTAAGCTACCAAAACAAATCTGCTGAAATCATCCTGGTTCATGAGTATGTTTCAGGGTAGATACCAAAGTTATATGAATCACACTCACCTGCACATTCCATGCCTTTAAAATATCGTTCCTTGTAGATTTCAGAACAGTTTGACATTAAATTAACATAGCCCCATTTAAGTGTAAATTGTTTTTCATAACCTAAAGGAGAAATGGAACAGCAAAAAAAAAAAATCAACAGTTTAGAAATTGTTCACAATTCAGTAAAAACAAACCCATGAGCATTCACAATTGGGGTGCTAGCCCAGAACAGGAGCAGACTCGCAGACTTAGATGTAGGGAGACACTGCATAAAGTGGCAAGAAAAAATACCAAGTACAGCGAGAGAGAGAGAGAGAGAAAATGAGGTATGAAGTACAGTTAATCAATCCCAGAAAATACTTTTATTTGTTTAAAATACTTATATCTTGCCTTTCACGTCTTGGCTGGCAACATATAAAATAATTGCAGTCAACTGCCTGGGGGTTACCCTGCAGCTACTCATCATCAGCAAGCTGCTGGAGTCGGGCCAGGAGACACACACTTTGTCTTCTCTCCTGGAGCTCCATTCTAAGTCTTCGTCTCTGGTGCTCAAAGGGTGTGGGTGAAACTGGAGGGCTGGTCATGACCACCTGAGCTGGAAGGTGCTGGTGGCTCTACATTAGCTGTCAGCTGCAGTTCATCTTCCTGCTTGCTGGCTTCTGTTGCTTCAGACCTGGCTACACAGGACTCCTCTTCTCCTGAGGAGTCCTCTCCTCCTGACTGACCCATGACAGTACCAGAGTGTTGCCTGGATGTTGCTGGTGTATAGATGTCACTTCCTGTGCGATGCTGTTGACGCGGCCTGGGCCTTCCTCTTTCTCCTGGTAAGTCCCCTGCTGGCCAGCTGATAGGCAACTGGGGGCAGGGCCTGGCAGTGGAGGACCCCTGCCTCCAGTGGGGGGTCTGCCAACCCTACTGGTGGAGGGGATGCAATGGGAAAACATGGAGAAAATGCTTGTGTGGAAGTTCTACTAGTTCTGTGAATGCCTCTGAATGAGAATACATCCCTTTGTGGGAGCAGCCTCTTTCTGTTGACCAAGCCACAGACATCAATCAGCTGAGATCAGTATGGAACCTACTTGACAGTCAGTGCATATGCTAAAGTTGGGCAAATGCACAAGTGTCTTCTTGGGATTATATAACAAAAAATGGCTATACAGTGTGTGTAGTATACCGAATCTGAAAAACACTGTAATGAAGGAATACACACACAATTATATTTGAAATTACAAAAAACCTTTTATTAACTATTCTTTAAAGATGTAGTACAAGTTGAAATTAAACATACGAAACTAAACTGCTTTTGGCTTTGTGGAGCCAGTTGGAACACTGAATAGTCTTAAGTGTCCAGGGAAATAGTAGAGCTCCTCAGCTTGTTATAACGCCTGAGTGGTGGAGTGCAACTGGGAACAGAGGAGAAGCGCCTGTGCATGATCTGCACTAGTCACCTCAACCCTTTCCCAGCTTTACCATATGATTATGGCCTGACGAAGGGTCAAATGGAGATTTACCTGGGACATCTGTTGCCATAGTTAACGCTATGAGGGAATGCTTACTAAATTTGCAAATAATACCAAATTGAGAGGGGTAGCAAATACAGTAGATGACAGAGTCAGGATACAGGATGATCTTGACAGGCTGCAAAACGACTAAAACAAATAAAATGAATTTCAGTGAGGATAAATGTAAAGATCTGCATTTAGGTAGGAAAAATTGAATGCATAATTATAGGTTGGGGGAGACATGTCTTGGCAGTAGTATGTGCGAAAAGGATCTAGGGGTCTTAGTAGACCATACACTGAGCATGAGTCAGCACTGTGACACAGTTGCTAAAAAGGCAAATGCGATTTTGGGCTGTATCAACAGAAGTATAGTGTCCAGATCATGCGAAGTGATGGTACCACTTTACTCTGCTCTGGTTAGACCTCACCTAGAGTACTGTGTACATTTTTGGGATATAGACAAGTTGGAACGTGTCCAGAGGAGAGCAATGAAGATGGTGAGGGTTCTGGAGACCAAGTGCTATGAGGAAAGGTTGAAGGAGCTGGGTATGTTAGCCTGGAGAGGAGACAACTGAGAGGTGATATGATAACCATCTTCAAGTACTTGAAGGGCTGTCATATGGAGGATGGTACAGAGTTGTTTTCTGTTGCCCCAGGAGGTCAGACAAAAACCAACAAATTGAAATTAAATCAGAAGAGTTTTCGGTCAAACATTAGGAAGAACTTCCTGACAGTTAGAGCAGTTCCTCAGTGGAACAGGCTTCCTGGGGAGGTGGTGGGCTTTCCTTCTTTGGAGGTTTTCAAGCAGAGGCTAGATGGCCATCTGACAGCAATGCAGATTCTGTGAAATTAGGCAGATCATGAGAGGGAGGGCAAGAAGGGTTGCCTCAGTGCTTAGTTCTTGTGGCCCTTTCTAACATGCCCAGGGAAATGCTGATTGCCACTTTGGGGTCAGGAAGCAATTGTTCTCCAAGCCGGTTTGGCCAGGGATCCTGGAGGCTTTTTGTCATCTTCTGGGCATGGAACAGTGGTTACTGCGGGTGTGGAGGAGGAGGTATTTGTGAATTTCCTGCATTGTGCAGGGGGTTGGACAAGATGACCCCAGAGGTCCCTTCCAACTCTATTTTCTAATTTCAACTTGTACTGCATCTGTAAAGAACAGTTAATAAGAGGATTTTTTGTAATTTCAAATAGAATTTTGTGTGTAGTTATTCTTGAGATTAAGCAGAACCTGTTTTTCTGTTCGTTGGCACAAACCAAATTCATGTAACTGATCGGCTAGCCTTGGCATCAAGTGTGAGGCTACCTCTCATTTTTTCCCTGAGCAGAGGATTGTACAACTGTCAATGGCCAGGTCAAGGTGTTTCAGTCACAAAGCCAACCTTGCTCTCTCCAAACATATCTTAAAGAGTTTAAAAACAGTTGTTAAAAAGGCTTAAAAATGTAAAATGTCAAACAATAATTTTATCAGCTAGAGATTCTGGGCATTTCAAGGTGGGGAAAAAGGGATACTCCATATGGAGCATGGGAGGCAGGAAAAAAAGGAAGAGACAATCAGGATTTGATCCACAGCTCTTCATGTGTCTTTACAGGAACGAAGTTGGCGGGGAAAGAAGCAATGATGACTTTGCAGCTGAATCCCCTGCACTTATCCCTGTTCACAGCTATGTCTGTCTTCACGCAGCAGTGATTCAGCATGAGTGCCAGTGGGCGTGGCCATGGCAAGAAAGGAGGCCTCAACAGCCAGCAAGCAGGAAGATGAACTGCAGCTGACAGCTAATTCCTGGAGCTCTGGGGGCAGAGCCTGCAGAGGGCAGAGTTTGGGGAGGGGAAGGAGCACATCCAAGATGCGATGCCATGGAGCCCACCCTCTGGAGCTGCCGTTTTCTCCTGGGGGGAACTGATCTCTGCAGCCTGGAGATCAGCTGTGATTCTGGGAGAGCCTTGGCCCATTATAGCTTGGCAAGCTTAGGGGCCAGCTGCAATGAAAGAGGTCATAATTCCATAATTCAGTCATAAAATTCTAATTACCTTCTGCCCGTCCCCAGCCAGACACTTTGCACTGGTGGCCTGCTCTGAACATGTAAGGTGACCAGGGGATGCAGGCTGCCACCGTGTTGGGTGGGAAACACGTCTGCCCTGAACTCTTGCTGTTCATTTCCAGCAAAGCGATATCATTTTCATACGTTTTGGAATTATAGTCCTCGTGGATTATCAGTCTTTTCACAGTAAAGGTTTCCATCCTGGAATGCCAAATTATTGTATTTAACATTCCAGTCCATATCAAATAGGTATGAACAGAGCTTTGTCTGAAAAAGAAAACAAGCAAACAAATACAAATGTAAACCTTGGCTTGAAGTAGATTTCCAGTTAATGAATTAATCAATCAAAGGGGCTATATAAAGAATGATTCACTTTTAAAGTACTGCCCTTTGCAGTTTTCTGAAATGACTGGAAGATCTCATTTCAAACTGCAGTTGAGACACAATGTTCAGACACGCCGTTTGATCTGGTGTCATGACAGTTCAGCAACGGATTTTATATGCACGATCACACAGTCAACATCTGCCTCCTGTCCCCAGCTGTTGGTTTCTGGCTCAAAACCCCTTTAACCCGGAGTATTTTGTTACCAGGTCCCAAAGTGGTGTTTTCTCAGCTCTCCCATTTAAAGCTGCAGTTTCCCCTGTGCGATCGCTCCTCTGGGGTCAAGCCACTTCTAATTATTTAAACCCCCTCCCCGCTTGGAAGTCCAAGGCTTCCGCTTTTCGGCCACCATTTTTTTGTGCGTCGGCGGTATGCGCATAAGCAGAGCTCCGATCCCACATTTTTAAAACCAACATTTAAACGGTCACTAGTTTTGAGTTCAGGATCCCAAAGAGGCCAGTTTAGGGCAAAAAGTTTAAAGGGAAGTCTTCTGTCAAAGCGGTGAAATCACGGTGCTCTGCGGAACTGTCAAGTGAAATCCGTGGTTTGCCCTAGTGGCTCTGCGCATACGCGAGGATATTCAATTCCACGGATGAACAGTTATGCGCATGCACAAACTGGGAAAAGAAAAAAAAACCCGACACACAATCTCGTGTGATCACGATTGTCCAGAGTACAAATAATCATGTCAGAACTGAACCAGTTTAAACTGCTCTCAGCACGCCGTCTGAATGCACCCAATGAGAATATTTGAAGCCAGACTAGCTTTGATCAGAAGGAAGCTAACAAAGGATCATGCACGTCCAACTAATGTCTTAATACAGTGTACACAAAGTGACAGATTTTAAAGTGGGGATGCTTTCAAAACAGGGTGGGCATCAGTATATGTCACAGTGGGGCACCTGCCAAGGCCCAGACTTTCCAGCAGGGCCCACTACCTCTACCTCCCTTTCCTACATGGCTAACCTGCCACCTGGCTGCACATGCTGCCCAGCACCAATGGGGAAAGGGCATGCAGGTGATGCATGTGGCTGGGCACACAGGTGGCAGGAGAGCTCACAGGGAAGGAAGCTGGGCAGTGGTAGAGAGCCACACAGGTGGGTCAGCAGGTGTGTAGGAAGGGATGCAATTGGGGAGCGTGGGCTTAGGGAGGGGACCTGTTTCTGTTGTTGCCATGAAGCCACTTCAGATGGTATTATAAAAGACTCCCTAATATTGCTGGACTCTGAAGCCTTGCTGGACTATGGAGAGTGTGTGCCAGGGCAATGGACAGAGCTGTGTTCCCAAGAGAAGTGCCCTATGCTGGACTATGGAGCGTACACTGTGGCCAAGGGAAGCCTTGTGCCTAAGTAGCATGCCAAGCCAGATGTGAACTTGGGACTACAGAAGCAGTCTGCCCCTGCACCTCTGCATCTACCCCAAGCACCGGGATGCAGACCAGCCACCCTGGCCTCCATGCAAGCAGAGACACACATGCCTCTCCCTCCTGAGCCAGCCTAAGACAAAGGGATACGCTCAGCGACAGACAATAGCAGCAGTCCAGGCTTCCTGTCACCCATCCAGATAACACTGCTGTCAAGTATCCGATCGTTAATATGAAGCACCAACCCTGCAACGTGATTGGTTCTCTTCATTCTCTCCTTTGTCTCACCCCCCTCCCCCAGAGGCGTCACTCCCTGCCAGCCATTAAATTGCAGTTGCCCAACTGTTAGTCCCTTTATACCCCATCCAGAGTTTTAAGTTTTTTTCTAATATTTCCTGGGAACCAGGTGACCACATGGCCGCAGCCTCAGGTCACAATTTAGGTATTTAAGGAGAGCCTTCCCTGAGCTCGCTCTCTTGCCTCTTGCTTCTTCCCCTTCTAACCCCATCCTACCTTGTTGGTTCCATCCCTGTGCAGTTTGGGACCATACCACATGTGTTGTTGGTCAACTCATGACCCCTTCCCTTATTTTATTTTTCGCTGCATAATCTACTTGTCTCGTCGGACAGGTAAAGTATCACCCAACCAACAATATTTCTTGCTCATGCAAACGTCGCTATCCTTTCAACCCTGTATTCCTAGCTCTGGAGTGGGTGTGTGAATGCTTGAATATTATTTGTATGCTTGAGAACATTTAGTAAAGAAATCATTATTTTAGTAACACGGTCTCTGCATCTATTTGTGGACTCTGGAAATTCTGACTCCCGTATATAGGTTATAATCCTATATTTTATGCCCATTGTCACTTAATATTCATAATTCCCCAAGTTTAATAATTAAATAAGGCAATTTGGCTAACACTGTCCAGGGGCCCCCAAAACCTGGAACTAGCCATGTTTCAAGCAAATGATTCCTCACATGCATACCAGAGATGGTACAGTTTCAGAGTATTCTTCTAATATGCTGTCACTCACAAACTATATTGCAGAGTGGCGCTATTGGCTCCCCAATTCTCTCATGATTCTTTACTCCTTTCCCATTCATTTTTGATCTGTATCATCCAATTTTTTTTTACAAAACAAACCTAGATTTGTTTTGCATTTGGCTGGATGACCTTGTGCAAGCCGTAGTTCTGGTAAGAGCTGTTCTTGAAAAAGAGCAGTTTCTGTCAAGAGCTCTCTCAGCCCCACCTACCTCACAGGGTGTCTGTTGTGGGGAGGGGAAGGAGTTTGTAAGCCGCTCTGAGACACCTTTGGGTAGTGAAGGGCAGTGTATAAATCCAGTCTCTTCTTCTTCTTCTAGATTGAGGCACTTTCATATGGTATAGCACAGCCACATTATACGTACATCATAGTAGCTGACAGTGTTACAGTAATTCCCTCTTGCCAGGGAGCCTTGGAAATTGCAGTTCTGCACTGGTGAAGCGTTTCTGAATCTCAGTTAGCTCACCATGCTACAACTCCAAGCATTCTTTTGGGGGAAACCATGCCCATCAAAGCAATGCAGAACTGATATAAACTACTAAAATATAACTTTGTTCAGTCCTGTGCTACAAGGCAAGGCTGACCTGTAATCTAGCTAGAATGAATTTGATACCCCCCCCCAAAGTCACTTACCTAACACAGTGTGCGGCAGTGAGAATCCAACAGCCTCCAATATAAATCCCACCACAGTTCACTTGAGAGGTAGTACTTCTAATTGCCACCTGCCAAGGAAATTCACCCTGCACAAAAGAGAGTTAGGTCAAGTTGTATCTCTTGCTATGTACAGATTATACTTTTTTTAGTACCTCCCTGCAGTTTTGCTGTGGCTCACTGGTAGAGCATCTGCTTGACATGGAGAAGGTCCTAGGTTCAATCCCCAACATATCCAGTTAAAAGAATTTGGCAGGAGATGATATGAAAGACCCCCCTACCTGAGACCTTGAGGAACCACATCCAATCTAAGCAGATAATAGTGATTTCAAACAATTCAGTGTAAGGCAGTTTCATGTGTCCATGTGTAACTAGAACCCTTCAGGTATTGCCCAGATTTCAGCACTATTAAATATTTCCTTCGTTTTAGGTGCAGAGTTCTGCCCTCTGAGGGTGTTTGGACACACAACATATAAAACTGCCCTTTACTCTTACATTGTCTGATCATTGTTAACACAGAACAGCAAGCAGAAGGAAGGACTTTGTAATAGGATTAGCATGCTAGCCAATAGCTTTTTCATATTCTTATTGCAAACTAATTGGACCCATTTGAAGACTGTTATGTATCACTATGGTAAACGTAGATTACCAAACCCAAGTCTGTCAGGGTAACTTGAATATGGGCCAAGGTACAGGATCATTGGGTGGGAGCTGCTTAACCCTTCCCCAGCCATTGATTCTTTCCTACTTTTGGAGAAAGCAATGTCTGGTGTACAAAAAAAAGAAAGAAGAACCCTTCAGAGGGTAGTAGAGAAAAGACTAGTCAGACAGGATCATGGATCAGCATTTCCTTTCCTGATAAGTGTCATTCCTTCTCTGTCTCCAAATTGCTCCTCTTAGGGTGATATCCTTTTTCTTCTCAGATGTTCTACAGAACAGAAATGTAGCTAGGAACCTATCTCTACTCTTTAGTATCAAGTATGTTAGTTCCTGAATAAAGCTTTCTCTAGGTTATCTCCAGACCCCCGTGCTATTTGCAATGGAAGCTAGGTTATGCAGTGGTTAAGGTTTTGGACTAGGCTCTGGGAGACTCAGGTTCAAATCCTCACTCTGTCATGGACGTTTTCTGGGTGACCTTGGGCCTGTCACACTCTCTCAGCCTAACCTACATCTCAGGGTTGTTTTGAGAATAAAACGAAGGAGAGGAGAACAATGTAAGCCAGGGGTGTTAAACTCATTTGTAATGAGGGCCGGATCTGACATAAATGAGACCTTGTTGGGCCAGGCCAAGTGTGTCACAAAATGTAATGCTAGGTAGAAGAGATATAAACTTTATAAAAGACACAACACAAAGATTTTTTTACTTAAAATAAAAGCATGCTTAAAACATTAGCTCTGTAAGCTGCAAACCTACTTTTGATTTATTGACATTCACCACAGAAATCTCATTCTCAATTGTAAGTTGAAGTTATCCGTCTACTCTGCTTGTAAGCTGTAGCTTCCCCCCCCTCAACCAACTGTAATGTACAAAACTATGTATCTTGCAATAAAAACATTAAATGATGATGATGATGATGATGATGATGATGATGATGATGATGATGATAATAATAATAAT